ATATAAACGCTGCAATTAACTGACCATTTTCATTCCCCATGTCATGTACCGGTCTGGTGATGAATGACCGAAAACAGTTGTTTGCCGATACTACTTCTCAAGCTTAAAATGGGAATTTTCGCTGAACTGACTATCCTTTTACAGCTTAATTCGGTTCTAATCGGAAGCACAACTGTTGCCTAGTTACAACCCAGAATTCTACGATGCTCATCTGCACGTGCATGTCAGCCACACTGTAGATGCATTGGACCAGCACGGGGCCGGATCAAGGTACGCCATACGAGGCTGCACATTTATCTCAAATTCCAGAAATGGGAGTAAGATATCACGCCTAGACGCAGGCTTACTTAGCGCCAGTCACCTGCACGACATAGCCAAGGTGAAGGGGGAGGGAGGACAGTGCGACAGATGAGGAGCAAATCTACTACCACTTTGAACTAAATCACGCGTCAATCACCACCCATGGGCCAATTATGATGTGAGGACACGGTGGATATCGTCGAAATCGACGGTCAAATTGCCGTAATGTGTCATCGTCAAGGTTATCAGCCGCTACAATGCAACCCTACACCTATGCCATCGAGCTGTCGGAGGGAAAAGATAAGGGTAATCTATTAAGATAGTGCAACTCACCCGTAAGGCAATATCGCATCCTGAGGAAGAGTGTAGACTGATTCGTTAGAGGTCCGGTTGTAGTAGTAAAACTGACCAGTCTTGCTGCTCTTCACTTCAATCCAGGGAGCTTAAAGCAAGGGCACATAGTTGTAAGATGCAGCAATGGGTAGGAATAGTTTGTCCACCAAACTAACTACTATCCTGCGTTTGAGCAGTGGTGACCAGAGAAGCATTAACCTCTACCACACCCCGCTCATCCTTACATCATTAACATACTTAGATCACCATCCCTCGCCTGCCAACCGGCGCTAATTAGGTCTTAGTTACGTAGGGCCGAGGAAGCTTCCTTGTTAGGCCGTCGTTGACTGGGATAAATAATAAAAAAGCCACTTACAAATTTTCAATAGTCCACCTTTCAACCGATTTTCCCTATGTAGGCTTCTTCCATTAACAGGACTCTACCAGTTACCATAGATGTTAAGAAACCTCCCGGTTTCCTGCATGTCCAGAACACTACCCGTGCTTATCGGAGATTGGTCCGGCCGTATGGACTTCAGGGCTTACGCACATAATCGAAGAGAAAGCTATCAGAAAACTTAAGGCTACTCGTTCGCCAAGGTTGCCGGCTCCTGATTGGCTGTGGTTGTTACTAGTTCGGTTCATTTTTTCTTGACTGTGAATATTCACTTTCCTGATCATGCTTGCCAATGAGAGCAATTTCGGTGTCTCTCTTGTGCTGTAGCCCTAATTTTTTTCTTCCAAACTACCTTCTCATCTTCCCCGTTTGTTCATTTTAAACACATCTGCGTGGCAGTACAAATACAATTCTGCTGGCGCAGTTACCACGGTCTCGTCAGACACTTGCGTCCGGCTAACATTTCTAGGCGGCCTCAGAACAAAGTCCTATCACAGGGCCATGTTAAAGGGAGACCAGTACCACTTCGTTTATAATTCCGTCAGGTATCAACCTCAAAAGCACGTCAGATTAAATGAAGTGGAAAAAATATGGTGCCGAATGTGCAGTGGAATGCCAGTGATAAGGCCAGGTCCGGCGGATTGGATATGCGGTCCGGCACGGTAGAGGACACAGCACTTCGCCCAGATCTGCAAAGTGGCTTACCTGTACAGTTTCCTCACCGACACTAACTACTCACTCGTAGATTGTCCAATAACAAAATGTTCCGTTTCCCCTGAGGTCTTACACAACAGCTGGACAGGCGTATAAGTACCACCGTACACAAGGCTACCTTACTCTAAATTCGGGGGGGTATCTATGCCTGTGCCTTTAACCCCAAATTTGTTGACCCTAACACTTAGTTCAGCGTTAAGTCAAAGACTGACCCTCAGTGGAATTTATCGAAAAGGGATACTTATAAGGGTGTCCTACCCTCACCCACACTCGAGGAAGTGTTCATAGAAACCATAGAACCTCACAGTCAAGAGAATGCTAAACGCACCGGCAAGGTGTGTGGCGAGATACAGTATTGATGGAATACATGCACAGTTCTTCCCCGTCCGCACCATGGGCCCTG